AATTCGTTGGAGCGATGGCACAGAAGACTTGCTCATATCGGAAGTGCTCAACTGAAGAAACTACAAAAAATGTCTCAGGGAATAGTAGTAAAGGAAAAGGACGTACCTGAAGAAGAGAACGATCTGTGTGACGTGTGCATGCGAGCGAAGCAGACGCGAAAACCTTTCGATAAGGAGAGAACCCGAGCGACAGGAGCGTTAGAAATTATACACTCGGACGTTTGCGGACCGATTGATCCAATTACTTGGGACGGCAATAGATACATCGTAACATTTCTGGATGACTATACACACCACACGTCGGTTTATCTTATGAAGGGAAAATTTGAAGTGTTTGACAGATTCAAAGAATACGCGGAAGAAGTGGAAACAAAGTGGAAAACAAAGGTCTGTAAACTGAGATGTGACAACGGTACTGAGTATACAAATGATAAAATGAAAACGTACTGCAGACAGAGAGGTATCAAACTAGACTTCACAGTGCCCTACATTCCACAACAGAATGGCAGAGCTGAGCGATTGAACAGAACTCTACTTGAAAAAGCACGGGCCATGATATTCGATTCTGGTCTTGGAAAAGAAATGTGGGGAGAAGCAGTCAGAGTAGCGGCATACATTCTGAACAGAAGTCCGACTGAGTCATTACAGACTACGCCTTATCATCTCTGGATGGATAGGATGCTGGATTTGTCTAATTGCCGCGTATTCGGATGTAAAGCGTACTCCAAGGAACTAGGACAGTTGAAGAAGCTGGATGAACGTAGCAAACAATTTATCTTTGTCGGATATAGTCCGAACGGTTATAGATTGTGGGACGAAACCAAGAGGAAAATTATTATACGGAGAGACATAGCATTTGATGAGAAGCGGAGAAGACCAGCTCGAAAGGACAAAATAAATATGGAAGAGTTAGATGCGGAAGCAGAAGAAGGAGTAGAAGAAACAGAAAATAGGGAAGAAGACAGAGAAGCTGAAAATGAAGAAAATAAAGTAATAGAAATAGAAGACTCTTCGGATGAGAACGAGCTGTTCCAAGATACGCACACAGGGAATGAGTCAAGTGACAGTGGGGCGGAGAGACAGAACCTGACGAGATAAGCCAACCAGTGGAGAGTCGACTCAGGAGATCGGACAGGCCGAGAAGGAAACCAAGGAGATACGACGAGCATGTTCTACTAACTTATAAAGAAGCTGTCGAAGGGCCAGACAGACTCAAATGGAGAGAAGCGATACGGAAAGAGAAGGAGTCTTTGCAGAACAACTCAACCTGGGAACTAGTTGATAAAGAATAGGTAGGAAAAAAAAGGTTACTGAGTAATAAATGGATATTTAAAATAAAAGATGATGGGACTTACAAAGCGCGTTTAGTCATACGAGGCTGTGAACAGCGGCAGGGCATAGACTACGGAGAAACATATAGTCCTGTTCTAGATAGTGCGTCGTTGCGTATATTGTTTGCGTTAATAGCTAGTTGTAACTATAATTATCTGAAATTTGACATAAAGACTGCATTTTTGTATGGAACCTTAAAAGAGGAAATATATATGCGACCTCCGGAAGGATTTTCGGTTGGTAATAAAGTATGCAAACTGAAGAAGGCGCTGTATGGTCTAAAACAAGCGCCTCTGTGCTGGAATAACAAATTCACGTTGTTTTTGAGTAAAACAGGTTTCCGGCCGCTTAAAACTGATTCCACAATATGGAAAAATGAAATGGCAAATCTCATAGTCGCGTTTTATGTAGACGATGGTTTACTGCTAGGACGAGATATCGATCAAATGAAAAAATTCATTGCGCAGATGGAAAAAACATTTGAGACTAAATGGACGTTAAATCCTGATAACTTTCTCGGGATACAAATCGAAAAAGGCGTAAAAGGTATAAAATTGACTCAACAGACTTATATTTCAGATCTAATAAATAAGTATAGGATGGAAGACGCAAAAAAGAGTACCGTACCGATGTTACCGTGTAACATACCGATACAAAGAAGATGGATGACGGAAATACCGAAGGGACCAACTTTTCGTACAGAGAGGCAATTGGGAACCTACTGTACTTATCGAATAGAACACGCCCAGATATTGCGTATGCGGTGAATAAACTAAGTAGGAAGGTTGAGAAACCAACCGTAAGTGACGTATCGAAACTGAAGCGCACTATGAAGTATGTAAAAGGTAGTATTAAGTTAGGATTAGAATATAAAAGGAAAAGAGAAATAAACAAATTAGATGTATCCTGTGATGCGGATTACGCGGGCGATATAGAGACGCGAAAGAGTACTACCGGATACGTTATATTTTTCGAAGGAGCTCCGATTAGCTGGTGTTCTCGTAAACAGCCGATAGTAGCTTTGTCAAGCACGGAAGCTGAATTCATTGCCGCAGCCGAATGCTGCAAAGAAACTCTTTACTTAAAGAATCTGATCAAAGAAATCTGTAAGCATAAAATAAATGTAAGTCTAAATATAGACAATCAGAGTAGCGATAAGATTAATTGAAACAGAAAAATTAAATAAAAGAAGCAAGCATATTGACGTTCGATACCATTTTATATGCGAAAAGGTTAATGAAGGGTTGTTGAATTTGTTCTATTGCCCGAGTGAAACGCAAACGGCAGACATACTGACAAAACCGTTAAACGCGAACAAATTTGTGATGCATAGAGAAAGCCTACTGTGTTAAACTGTATGAGTATGCGTGTGTGGATGCAAATTGAGTTAAGATTTTTTTTTGTTCAGTTGTATTCGGATTTTTTGTTGTTGTAACGCCCGATTTGAAATTGCGGGGATGTGTTGGAAAAAGGGAAAAGTAAAGCCAATTTCAAATCAAGCGCCGGAGCACTCGGATGCTCCAGATAATTGCGCAGACGCAGGGCGCTGAAATCGGAGCAGAGGAGCGCGGAGTTTGCCGGCAAAAGGAGAGGCTCACACGCTCTCTCTCCCTCGGAACGTCGGACCGGCAGGACATGCG